TATATCACTATGTACACGTAGGAGGGCCGTCTCAGTAGAGTGTCCCATGCGGTAGGCCGATTGCATGTTGTCATGGAGACTGTTTGCATGGAGATGAACCTCTAAACGCCGGGACACAACCTTCTCCAAGATCTTAGACAGAAAAGGCAGATTTGAAACTGGGCGGTAGTTTTTCAACTCCTCCTTGTCCATTCCAGGCTTTTTTAACAATGGTCTGACATGTGCCTTCTTGAAACATAATGGAACCTTTGACTCAACCAATGATTTATTCATGATTGCGGTAATCAAAGGAAGCAGTGCTTCAAGACATTGCTTTAATAGGTCTGTAGGCAGTGGATCAAGCTCACAGGACTTCGATTGCGAGGTCATGATAATGTTGCGCAACTCGTCCTGGGTTGTTGGTGAGAGCTTTGTCAATGGTTCCCCATCAAATGCAATGTCAGCAGTCATGACAGAGATGTCAATGTCAGCAGAGGTGTTCACTTCGGTAATATTTTTCCTGATTGAGCTGATTTTATTCAGAAAGTAATCACTGAACTTGCTTGCTAAGTCTTTTTCAGAATTACAGCTTGGTAGGATAATTTCACCTTTCTGTCCCATTAGGTTTTTGGTGAGTCTAAAAAGTTGTCTTTTATCCTTGCCACATTCCGTATAATAAGCCTTCCGTGACTGAAAGAGCAGTGAACCAACTAGCCGACATTGCTCTCTATAAATCAGTTGGTGAACAGTTAATTTGGTCCGTCGCGGAGATTTTCATTATTAACTGTCAAACATATCCGTCAGATAAAAACAGGACTTAGCATCAACATTTACTTAACATTTAACAACTCGCGCACACAAATCATCAACAAATCAAAACGAGGCGATCACACCCAAGCACCTGACCTAACTCAAAAACAGAATAGTAATTATTAACAAAATAGAAACAGCGCCACCCAAAGGAAAAGTAGACAACAATAATGTATACACAGAAATATATATCAGACGGAAAAGAATCCGTAAACAACCAAGAACATCTACATCCATTACAAAGTTAAATGAGAAAACAGAACCTCACCAAACTGAACATCACTGCAAATTAACAAACAGGCCAAACCATTATACTACGAACCAATTCAAATCAACACTTCACGAATCGTAAAACAAAACATTCCTGCAAAAACTACTGTCCAGCAAACACCGACTTCAACAATCACGCAACGCATATTAAAACTACATAGAATATTAATTCAAGTTCATACCTGTTAACAAACCAGACAACACAACAATAAAAAAAACCATTCTCAATCATTAGGACAACCAAAAAAGAAAACATTCCTGCACTCCGCAAAACCTTAAATGTCAAAATCCAAGAGGACCGCCTGACGGCCATGTTGTTTATCCGACCAGTCTCAAAAGTAAACATGCATAACTAGTGATCAAAGGAAACCTCCATAGAAAGATCCCTCAATAACTTTCTGAGAAATTGAGTAATCGATCCTGATCTGTCAAAATCCAAGGTGGCCCTCAGGCGGCCATTTTGTTCATCTGATAAGTCTCAAAAGTAAACATGCACAACTAGAGATAAAAGGAAACCTACATATTAAATTTGAGAAACATCCCTCCAGTATTTTCTGAGAAGTATGAAAACAAACCTGAACCGTCAAATTTAAGATGTCCGCTAGTCAGCCATCTTGTTTTAGCGATCAGTCTAATAACACACACAACTTAAGAACAAGAGGAACTTTCATATGAAATTGAGAAAGAACTCTTCGAGAACTTTCTGAGAACTAGTGATAACAAACTCTAACCGTCAAATTCGAATAAGGCCGCCTGTCGGCCATTTTATTTATCTGATCATTCTTAAATATTGAATACGTACACACACGTAGGGACCATGGGAAACTGACAATTCAAATTGCTATCCAAATTCCGATATTGCTAACCATAATGAATTACTTCCAATGGAAATTAAACAAATGTTGGTCCAAAATGTGATTACCCTATATAAACTATAGTAAAGTTTACCCCCTCCCCAGGGTCACAAAATTCACAGTTTTGGTAGGGCACCTTAAGAGTATTGGATTCTACCATATCTGGGTCTTTAGAAGAAGATGTTTACAATTTTCAGTCAATTCGAAACTTTTTGGCCCCACCCATCAGTCCCTTGGGGTCAGTCAGGGTTAATATGTGCATACCATCGAACTGCTATCCAATACTAATAATGCTAACCCACATTGAATTACTGCCAATGGAAATTAAACAAATGTTAAATGTTGAATTATCCAAGATGGCTGCTGGGGCAACCATCTTGTTTTTCCTAACAGGCCTAAAATTAATCATGCACAAACATTGACGCCGAAAGAGGACCTATTACTAGAACTAATCCGGAAGTTACTCTGGTCGTCTCATTCCCTATATTTAATATGATCCCTGTCGACTTTGTTTGTTTTTAAAACATAAACAGAAATATTATTCAAAGTGACAAAAAACAATAAAAACAACTTTTTCAATATCTAGCATACAGATTTAAGACTGAAAAGTATTTGAAACTAGCACCTCTGATTCTAAACAAGGAAAATGAAGAAATTTTCGCACACTGACTACTTTGCCCTATTTTCCATCTTTTCGTGTCCTTCGTAATTCCAACGCCGTTATCATATAGTAAATCCTAACACCCAAACGTTCCATTCTGATTTCCCTTATTCTGATCTCTATATTAAGTCGTATCCGTATTTGTCTCCTTTCTAGACCCTGTATACATAGTCCAGATCCCCGAGCCTTACTCTGGTCTCATTACCGGACATTCGTTTTCATATCTTGTTTCCTTCCTCCTTCCTGCATATTTGTTTAAATTTACATTCCCGGTCAAACATTCTCTCACAGATGGTCCATTCAAAAATGCCTTTATACTTTCCAAACTTACTACACTAGGCTCAAAATCATACTTTACTGTAACAAGAGGCCCATGGACCTTAACGGTCACCCGCGTTCTGATATATTTATACAGAGAGTTGATTTTTGTTTTTAAAACAGGAACAGAAATATTATTCAAAATGACATAAAACGATAAAACCATCTTATTCAATATCAAGCATACAGATTTAAAACTGAAAAGTATTTGAAACTAGCACCTCTGATTCTAAACAAGGAAAATGAAGAAATTTTAGCATACTGACTTCTTTGGGCCCCGCCCTACAGCCCTTGGGGGTAGGGCTGGATAAAAATTGTCAAAGTATCAAACTGTCAACTCAGGGTTATAATTCCAACCAAGTTATCAACATGTTATATCCAAAGTATCATTTGCCAATATAAACCATAATCAATTTAGACACCCCACCCCCAAGGGGTTAACGTGATACCCTAGCGTCATACAATTCACAATGTTGGTAGAGCACCTTAAAACACTTCCATCTATGAAGAGTATTTGATTCTACCATATTTCGGTCTTGAGAAGAGGGTTTTGAAATTTCAGTCAATTCGACCCTTTTGGCCCAGCCCATCAGCCCCAGGGGGTCAGTCAGGACTGATATGTGCATACCATCAAACTGCTATCCAATACTGATAATGCTAACCCAAATTGAATTACTTCCAATGGAAATTAAACAAATGTTGAATGTTGAATTATCCAAGATCGCTGCTGGGGCAACCATCTTGTTTTTCCTATCAGGCCCAAAATTAATCATGCACAAACATTGACGCCGAAAGAGGACCTATTACTAGAACTAATCCGGAAGTTACTCTGGTCGTCTCCTTCCCTATATTTTATATGATCCCTGTCGACTTTGTTTTTAAAACATCAACAGAAATATTATTCAAAGTTACAAAAAAACACAATAAAACCACCCTATTCAATATCTAGCATACAGATTTAAAACTGAAAAGTATTTGAAACTAGCACCTCTGATTCTAAACAAGGAAAATGAAGAAAATTTAGCACACTGACTGAAGTTATCAACATGTTATATTGAATTAATTCCAATGGAAATTAAACAAATGTTGATCTACATATGTAAATGTGATTTCCCTACATAAACATAAACTATAGTAAAGTTTACCCCCTCCCCAGGGGGAAACGTGAGACTCCAGGGTCATGAAATTCACAAATTTGGTAGAGCACCGTATGATTCTACCATATCTGGATCTTGAGAAGAAGACTTTTGAAATTTTAGTCAATTTGACCCTTTTTGGCCTTCTTCTCAGGCCCCTGGGGGCTGGGGACCACATACTTCACAATTATGTTTGAACTTTGGCCATGGAAGGCTTCTGCAAAATTACATTGAAATTTGTTCAAGGGTTTGGAGAAGAAATTGAAAATGTAAATTGTTTACGGACGCACGACGGACGACGGACGACGCACATTAGATTTTCAAGTTGACAGCTGTGGCAGCCATTTTGGATATCTGTCGAACCCGATTAGTAGCTGAAATCACTCCAGCAGAACTGGAGATTTTAATTGGTTGAAAATTCATTCAAATTCTTTCAGGAATATATATGCATTTACGTTTAAATTTTAAGTGTAATATGTTACAGAAGACTACGGCTGGAAATAGTTTACCTGGACCGTTGGCTAAAAGAAAATGGAAAACATTAGGGGCGTCATTTTGATGTACGAAGTTAAAGGTAAATAATGAACTAGTCTTTAAAGGCATGTGAGATAGGAATGAGACGGACTTTGTGTGTTTGTTATTGGGAGGAAAGGAGTCGGTACACAGTTAGGACAACGGGAACAATTTTGGAGTAATCGTTTAGTGGGACACGGGATAAAGATCTGAACGGGATTAGTAAAATTATATTTAGGACAGAAAACTAAGGATGTGATGGTACTAAAATATATATAACTTACTGAGTGTTTCGTAAATGCCTATATTTGATATTGACTTCATTTTCCTTTCAAAGTGAATATTCGGAACAAACAGAAAAATTAAATTCAAAAAGGGATGCTATGGTAGAATGTGTTATCGAAGGTTAAGTGTTCAGCAGATCAAAATGCGTGTTAGTAGCGTAACTCAAAAACTCACGTACAGCTTGTGCAATCGGCTGGTCGTATCGTGTTCTTTAACCTGGTTCTTTGACCTGCATATTGATCAGTGTATTAGCAGAATTCCCATCGCTTCCTTTTTCTTGTCTAAATACGTTTACAATCGAGCAGGATGTAAATTAAAACGGGTGACAAGGTGCTTCCCCTAAACTCTTATTCGTGTCTTCTCGCTAGGACGAGAACACATGAAACATCGTCTTTCACTTAGCTATCAGTATTATTTAAAAGTAAAAATTCTCACTTTTTAGTATATATTATATAAAAAAAAATCTTGTTGCTATGAATTGTTATTTTTTTTGTCTAACATCATAATTAAACAAGTAGAAACAAACACGACTACGATATTCAGGTTAATTACGAGTGGACCGTCCAGGGGAATCCCCTTGTGTTGTGTTCGATGTACGCGGGAAGGTCCTCTGCTGGATACAACCGAACTACTTGGTGGTGAAGCGGACGTAAAACCACTCAAACACACAAACAAGCAATGCACAAGGATACATTGCAGTTAAGGACCCCTGTACCACTGCCAAAAATTATAACTACGCTTCGGAAACTTATTTCTTCAGTATTACTATATCTATGATAATCCTTTCTGAAAAGAAATCCATACCTTATGGGCCCTTTTTTATGGAAAAATCAGAAAAACGAAATAAACAAAATATAATCACCAACAGTGTTCTATCTACTAGACCAAAATATAAAGGAACTAATAAGAATTTGTCCAACATTGTGTAAATAAAATAGATGTTGTTTTTCTATTATGTGGACTGAAGTGCATACCACTTAACGGGTTAACTAAGCCCTAAACTTCTTTCAGTAAGCATTCATATTAACTATGCATGCCAACTAAAAGATGTTTGCTACCATCCCAGGACGGTAGCTTTAGAGTTGGTCGCTGTATCAGCCATTTTGAGAGGTTTCCACATGGATATAAATAATCTGTCTACTTTGATTGGCTCGCTAACATTTTTTGCAAGCAGTGATTGGTTACCTGATGTCTGTGATGTCACCGTTCGTAGAGGTACAAGTGGGGAAATTAATTGCAAACAAAATATGATAGATAAAGTCAGAGAGATCCGAATGTTCATACATGATTGTTGGACAATGTTCTGCTATTCCACGCACGGCGGCGTTGTTGTTTGGTTATGGTCGGAAATGGATAAAACCAGAGAGCTCCGAATTATCATAACCATTTCAGGGTCATAATAATACCAGGGTCATAATAATAGAACCAGACGGAAAACCAAGACCAAGTGCTTTAATGTGTTTCTTTCATGTTTTTTAATGCAACTACCTTCATAAAATTGATATGACATGAAAAAATGTACACAAGTTTATATCAAAAATATACATTGCATTCTGATTTAAAACAGAAATCCAAAACAAACCAAACATACCGGTCCTGACATTACCAGTCCTGGTTTTAGTAAAAAGGCAAAATCACAAAAGCCGTAATAGCAAATAAAAACAGTATTTGAAACATATCTTTTTATTTTACTTATACATTTAGTATGGTGTTCTTGTATTTCCTACATGAAATAAGCTTTAAAATTGAGTTAATAATACTTAAAATAAATATTTGATCCCGGTTTTCCCTGTCCTGGTTTTAGTAATGGTTTTTTTGGTCCTGGCAGGATTTGGGTCACTAAATTAACAAATGGAATTTTCATTTTCTTATTTATATGTAAGTATTAATGTTTTCTTTTAAATTATATAACAGAAAATGTTCTAACTTGCACAATAACTTTTAAAAAAAGCATTAAAAAAAGTATGCTGGTCCCGACAATCCGGTCCTGGTATTATTGTGACCTGCTATCTTACGTTGTAATTATTATTGATTCTTATATTCTAAGTAGTACTAGTCATTGGTTGCATGCTATATTCATGTTATTTCTTTCTCATTGGATAGTGATGCCCCTGCTAGGGCATTTACACTAAATCACATATATATACTATGTAACAGGGTGTGAACAGGCATTGAAAAGGCCCGGTCCTCAACTGAGGAATAATCCTGCAGTTATGCGACGTAACCTTGTTCACAACATGCGTATGAGAGAAACTCCACAATACCACCTGACCAACAGGTTAACAGTTGTCCGCTCGTGGACGCATTGACCACCAAATTATATATTTTTTAAATAAATTATCCGCATAACTACGCGAGCCTCTACATACCCATTTATCTCAAACTTTACTATTACTGCTTACTAATAAATAATGCTGTTGGTATAGCCCTCTAAGCTCTTTGGAAAACTAATACTTGTCAACACTTATATTTACTAATTTTGGAATATTTATGACCTAAATAAATTTCATCTGGATGTATACACATGACTTCGGGTTTTGACGGAAGTCTGGACTTAGGATGCGTCATTAAGTGTGTAGTGTGGGAGAACGGTGGTGTAGCTATATACACATATACAGTTTATTTACACAGTAATACACATACATATGATCATTCACTCATTCACACTGATGAATATTTACAATGAAACTACAATATATATATAAAGTTCATGGCCTTTCCCCGATGTTGTATCTCCCTGACGTATTGCACTGAATGTCTGTTCCAGTCTGGTCCAAGTGAAAACAATACAAGTCTCAATGACGCCAGTACCATGGAAAACGAACATTCCCGGTCCACGGTTTCAACTCGATATCATCTGCTGATGACTTGGTATGACACAAGCTGTAGCCGAAGCATTATACCAGTTTTCTGTCCAATAAATGTTGTCACTCCGACCCCTACGTGCTTGCTGGCGCACCAATGTTGTAGGCAGTCTGGCGAGTATAGTCTCAGTGTGGAACCAATGTCTTACCCACAATCCACCATAGGCCATATCTCCGAGCTGGAACCAGACATTGCTGAAGTACAGATGTACACGAAAAATAATAATGATATACTTGTGCAAACACCTTCCAAAACTAGCACACTTTATCTAAAATGCTCAAACTATATAATGATATTTGGTATAACATTATACATAGAAACTATACCATTATGCTATAAAACTATATATAATAATGGCTATGTGGGCATGCATAAAACATACTTACATACATACATGTATATAGAAAATTATCAATGTTTCCATATGAATATTGACCAAGATTTAAGACTAAATAACACTGTCGAGGTATAAAATAACTGATTAATTACTAAGTATTTCAAAACATGACCATATGAAATACTATAAGTAGTACCAGTATGATGAATCATAGCAATCAGTTGTATATAAAGCATACTGTAAATGATCCAGTACCTGACGAAATATGAAAACAATAGATATAAAAGTTTACATATGATATTTACAACACACGGAATTTGTCCCACGAGGAAGGAAAGAAATTAAAGTCGTACTACGATGGCTTCGACAAGTATGTACAGCCCAAAGCAAACCCAGTTTTTGCCAGATATAGATTCAATAACATTGTACATCGTCGTTTGATGAATTCGTAACACGTCTCAAACTAGCAGTGAGAGATTGTTCGTATAATGAGCCCAATGCAGATGAAATGGTTCGTGATCGAATCGTTTTCGGCGTTAACTCACAAAAAGTGAGAGAGAAACTGATAAATGAAGGTAAAGAACTAACCATTGACAAAGCCCTACAAATAGGCCAGAGTTATGAATTCTCTCAGCAACAATTAAATTCCATGAAGACCGAATCGTCCCAGGACCAGGCTGTTACAGTACCAGTACATGCCGTATCAAAGGGAAACAACTCGCATGTAAAATATGGACATAAACACAGTGTTCGTCAACAGAGTGACAGACGTCGTGACAGCACTCACAAATACAGAGACAAGCAGTACAAGGGACACGATGACAAACAAGACAACAGATCATGTGACAGTTGTGGTAGACAACATACGAAGAGTGAAACCTGTCCTGCTAAAGGAAGACAACACATGAAATGTAAAAAATTGAATCATTTCGCAGTTAAATGTAGATCAGTCAATGTAAATGAGGTTAGGTAGATCATGTAGATGATGATGGATCCGAGTCGTAGATACTATAACTTGTAGTTCTAACAAGAATGTTAGTGATCAGGCATTTACTAGCATTGAAGTAGGCCAAACAGCAACCCCTGTCACATTTAAACTATATACTGGTTCCCAGGTAAATATCATTCCCAGTGTTGTGTTTCACAAAATTTGCCCTGCAATTTTGACCTTGTCCAAATCTGATAAGCACTTGTCATCCTATAGTGGTACTCCCATTAAAACATAAGGTCACTGTAACCTCAAATGTTAGTACAAAGGTCGTTGTATCACAGCAGATTTCTACATAGCTGAGAAAACTGCCACCCCCCATACTAGATCTGAAATCATGCCTTGACCTTGAACTCATACAGCTAGTATATGCTGTGAACCGTGACAAACCACCTGACATAACCGTTAATAAACCTGAAACGCAACTCGACAAAGCGAAAGCCTTAAACGTTTGTTTGGATCGGCAGGATCTTAATAGAGCAAGTAAGCGTCTACACTACCCTATGCGAACATTAGAGGAAATACTTCCCGACCTAAATGGTGCTAGTTTTTTTCACAAAGCTTGACGAACGTTCCGGTTATTGGACGATCAAACCTAATAAACCGTCCTCGCTACTTACTACTTTCAATACACCTTACGGTAGGTACCGTTTCCTACGGATGCCCTTTGGTGTCAAATCAGCCCAAGATGAATTTCAACGAGTAATTGACGAAAGCTTTGAAGGCTTGAGCGGTGTATCTGCAATCTTCGACGACAAAAGTTGCTGCAGTGCGCGACAAGGAGCCGCCTCGCGAGAAAGCAAGAGCTAGAGACCACTCTTGGAATGGTCAATTATTTAGCTAAACTTTCACCGAATCTCTCGGAGATTACGAGGCCATTAAGACTCTTGTTACCACGCGAGATAGAGTTTACTTGGCAACACCCCCAGATAGATGCTTTCCAAAAGGTCAAAGATCTCATCACACAAAGTCCAGGTCCTGTGTTAGCCTACTATGATCCCATCGAACCACTTACACTACAGGTAGATGCTTCTAAGTACGAGCTAGGTGCTACCCTGTTACAGAAAGGGAGACCTGTCACATTTGCGTCCAAGTCCTTGACCCCAACAGAGGTCAACTATGCACAAATAGAAAAGAAAATGTTCGCTATGTTGTTTCGCCTTAAGCGTTTCCGTCGGTATGTCTATAGTACCTATGTCTACAGTACATATTGACGTGGAATCGGACCACAAACCACTTGATTCTATTCTCAAAAAATCATTGGCCATAGCGCCAGCTCGTTTACAAAGAATGATGCTACAGTCAGACATGTCCCGGGTAAAAAGATACCTGTGGCAGACACATTGTCGAGAAAGTTTATGCCCGACACATTTCCCAGCGTTTCAGAAGGTATGGAAGTCCATGTGCACACCATAATGTCTAGCTTACCTGTAAGTTCTCGCAAGTTGGGAAAACTCAGAATCGCATGTGAATCAGATCCACAAATGGTCACTCTTGCAAACACTATACGTGAGGGCTGGCCTGATCTGAGGAAGGATTGTGTTCTGGAACCATCGTGACGAAATGTCGGTTATGGATGGTATCATCTTTAAAGGCCCAAAGATTGTCGTACCCAAATGTTTGCGTCTCTCTATGTTGGAGACTCTACATACTGGACATTTGGGTATTGAGAAGTGTCGTCGTAGAGCCAGAGACATGATGCTGTGGCCTCAAATGAACAAGGACATTTCAGACTTTGTTCTCAACTGCAATGTAGGCTTTGAGTTAAGAAACTCTAACCCAAAAGAACCTCTCCTACCGCGTAACATTCCAGACAGACCATGGCAAACAATAGCCACTAGCTTGTTCTCGTGGAATGGTGAAGACTTTGTTGTCATAGTAGATTACTTTAGTAGATATTTTGAAGTCAGCAAACTGCCAAGTACTACCAGTAATTCAGTAATTGCTAAGCTTAAAGATGCATTCTCTCGTCATGACATTCCTGAAAAGGTAATATCTGATAATGGTCCCCAGTACGCTAGCGAGAAATTCACAGAATTTGCATTACTAAAACTTGGGATTTCATCCACGAAACATCCAGCTCGCATTTCGCACAATCACAAAGGCTAAGGCCGACGGGAAAGATCCCCATCTCGCAATCCTCGAGTATCTTACAACACCACTTGATACTGGTTTATCGCCATCTCAGCTGATCATGGGTAGACACTTACGATCTGCCATACCTACCTCCGATGAGCAATTGAAACCGAGGAGAAACAGCACGTAAAATGTGTGACAACCGATGGAAGCCTGCCCGAGTCATCAAACAAAATGACGCAAGGTCGTATACAGTCGCTACTCCGGATGGTTGCATATACAGGCGTAATTGACGCCACATCCTCAAAACAAATAAACCACCGATGACTGACCTTGACCTTGACCTAAACAGACTACCTCCTAGTACCCTCTATAATGAGTCAAATCAAACTAGTATGTCTGCAAGCAATGTCGTTCCCCGAGATATTCCTGGTAAGCCTGCAGCTACAGCATCACCCCAAACAGTTGTAGAACTATCAAAACCTCCAGACCTATCAAACGAATCAGGCTACATCACACGTTCAGGTCGCATAATAAAACAGAAAGTTATCTAGTCGATATGAATTGTGTTTATTGACATTCATTGAATTAGTTTGGTAATGAACTTTAAGATTACCAGAGACATTTGTTCTGTTATTTCATTGAATATGTTTTGTTATGAAATCTACCAAATAATGGACTTCGAGGAATTTTGAAAGACAGTGATCAAATATTTTCAGTTTAATTGTGTTATCGTATAATTATGGAGGTTCTTGTACCATGAGCTATAACCATTAGAATATTAGCATGTTGTAGTTAAACAATGATCATATGTTATAATCTCATATGTGGTATCATCAGTATATATAAGAGACTTGAACAATCATTATTGAATATGAACTTTAATCTTGAGAAGAGAGATGTAACAATATGACTACATTGTATATTGTATAATGGTAGTGTTCAACCTATACTATGATGTAACTAGAGTGATCTCCCTTGTTTGGCTCTGGTACCCTGTGTATAGTTGTGTGGCACCCCTATCTGAATAAAAGATTGACCTTAGAACACGTGTTGTCATTCCTCTCTTAGACCAATCAGCTTTACCATAACATAGAGGTAACATAACATAACTTGAATAGCTGAACGAAATATATATAACAGAAAATACAGAAATACCACTTACCATCCTAATATGCTTCGTGACAAAGTGGTTGGTTAATCAAAGTCTGTAACTCTGCAATTTGAGTAGTAATTCCGCTGCTAACATTTGTGTGAAACTATACCTGCCTTGTAAAATGTTTATTTACCAGTCTCAAATATACATGTGTTAATTTTTGAGACTAGTACAATGAGCCAAGGGCTCGATTTGACAGGCCGTCACCAAAATTCATCAATGACTTACAGGCTCTAAGTTTCGAAAAATGAGTTACGAGCCAAGATTTGCAAGACATTCCGGTGCCGTCATTAAAAGAAAACTACGACGATTCATTGAATACAAATATTTACATTTATTGTGTGCCGACTATCTACATAAAATGTGAAATCTTGGTCTTCATCCTGACCCCTTTGTCCGTACTCAGGGGTATTGCCGAAAGGTGATATCCAAGTTCGCAGTCTCCACAAAGATGGGTGCCGTAATAGTTAAGACGTATCGATCCTTGATCAAGGTGTGTCCTTTCCGTTGAGGCCTGCGCGCAACTGTCTGTTAATCAGCCACACCCCGAAAGTGCACAGGAGAGAAATTATGCCAACCCAGGCGGTGATAACCATTGGTTTCACCCTTTATTAAAATCTAACCCACTGGTCGAATGTTAACACCAAAACAACACATACTCTTCTAATTGTTAACGAAATATGATTGCATTTGATTATAGGCTGACGATCCAATATATGACGAGAAAACCTAACGGTGAAAGTACTTTTAGTAGGCTATGGACATAATTCCTCGAGGAGTACTAAAAGCCGAAATTTGGAATGGCAACACAAAGACATGATATGACGACAAATCTCTATCTCCTAGTCGGGTAATATTCCAACAACAATAGAAGAACAATTATCCCTTCACTTATAACACAAATACTTAAACACTAGTAACAAATTCAACTACATAATGCCATATACCGTTAATACCTTTGCACGTTCTGACTTTCCAATACCACTGCGCATTCAACACGTTTATTCGTTATGAAAGTATCATATAATAACTACAGTCACTTCATAAAACCCTCATAACTGCAACACAATAACACTGCGCAATAAACTAGTCAATCCCTTTTAAATACAACACCATCACTATATAGCCTCTTTGGAAGCTGTGTCGTTGATGGGACTTTAATTACCATGCATCACGAGACATCATTCTTAGCGTATTAATACAACACTGACCGGAACTACAATATCCAATATAAATAAACATGACGGCTGCTGAAATATCGCTCGGCATTGTGAGGTTTGACAATGTCATTGTAAATTTATGTGCAAAATAAAAAATAAAATAAAAAACACTTTTATTACAACGAAAACAAGACCAAGGTCTGCAATATCGTACAAAATGCACATCGGTTGAAATCACCAATGCCGGCAATGGAAACAATTTTAACGCTCATGCAATTTATCAGAAATATCGTCTGTTACACTGCACTGATCAACAGGGGTTCGTTACAAATGTCTGAAATACACATATTCTATAGACCTACTGACACATATGTTACAGACCTACTGATATGAGTCACAGCACACATAAACATTTCAGACATTTGTAACGAACCTGTGCTCCGTCGCAAGATCACTCACTTCAAACGCTATCAGTTTCACGCGTCTCGCATCCACCATTCCTCAGTTTCTGACGACATGTCAAATAACGAGGATGTTATAGAATCTACCGACTGTTGTCAGGTTCCCATACAATCAACAAATAAATTCACGCCTGGATTCTTCACAAAATGAGCAAAGAGAAAAGTTCGAATTAACTTCCAAAAATAACTCCCTCGTGGAGGGCAAGGTCAGATTTACGGTGTTCACTGTATTTGTCCATGCGCGAAGTTTGTTCCGGGGAAAAATCGAAACAATTTCAAATCTAACTTTCAGCTCAGAGTTCTATTGATAAACTAAAATCACCCTATAGACATATCATACGCAATTGTATTGATACTGAATTGTGGAATAAAATTGAAGTGTTTGTTAAAATTTCAAAGTACTACTTTGTTTGCCAATCAGCACGAGACAATACGCTGTTCAAACTATTGAATGAAATTGTGTGGACTGTCGATAAGGCGGGCGTTTTTAATTTTAATTATATATTATAAGTTAAAAAAGAACATCAGAGGCAGAGAAAACGTAAATATAAGTATTGAACTGTTTTTGTATGGTATTTATGATATATTTGAATGACACAGCTTTGCAAGCAAACAAATCATAATGCGCTAGCGCGCATTATGTTGTTTGCTTGCAAAGCTGTGTCATTCAAAAGATCATAAATACCATACAAAAACAGTTCACTGCTTAAATACATGTATATCAACACAGTGCTAATAATACCCCCTTGTGAATCTTACACAATATAACTGTACAGTAGTCACATAAATCCCTTAAATATCTTAAACAATATAACTGTACAGTAATCACATTACTCCCTTATGAATCTAACACAAAACAACTGTACAGTAGTCACATAAATTCAGTATTAATCTAGAACAATATAACTGTACAGTAGTCACATAAATCCAGTATAAATCTTACACAATATAACAATACAGTAGTCACATAATCTAGTATTAATCTAACACAATATAACTTTACAATAGTCACATAAATCCAGAATTAATCTAGCACAATATAACTGTACAGTAGTCACATAAATCTAGTATAAATCTTACACAATATAACTGTACGTACAGTAGTCACATAAATCCAGTATAAATCTTAAACAATATAACTGTACAGTAGTCACATAAATCCTCCAGTATAAATCTTACACAATATAACAATACAGTAGTCACATAAATCTAGTATTAATTTTACACAATATAACTTTACAGTAGTCACATAAATCCAGAATTAATCCTACACAATATAACTACAGTAGTCACATAAATCCAGTATAAATCTTACACAATATAACTGTACAGTAGTCACATAAATCTAATATAAATCTTACACAATATAATGTACAGTAATCACATTACTCCCTGATGAATCTAACACAATATAACTTTACAGTAGTCACATAAATCCCTTATGAATCTTAGACAGTATAACTGTACAGTAATCACATAAATCCTCCCTTATAAATCTTACACAATATAACTACAGTAGTCACATAAATCCAGTATTAATCTAACACAATATAACTGTACAGTAGTCACATAAATCCCTTATCAATCTTATACAATATAACTGTACAGTAGTCACTTTGAATCTTACACAATATAACTGCAAACTAGTCACAAAATTCCGTATTAATCTAACACAATTGACTGCACAATAATCACATAAATGTAATAAACAGAATATCCAACAGTGTCTACAGTAATACCAAATAGATTTCACTCGTGTGGCTAATACAATGTATTTGATATCTATCACTCGTGTTGTGCTCTTGAAAAATATAAAAAAAATATTAGCCACACTCGTGAAATATATTCGGTATATACCAACTGCCTGTTGGTCCTGCTTGAGTCATCTACGTTTAACAAGCCGCTGTCTATAATAGGTACATTGTAATGATGTACAACAAGTGTATAGCATCCAATCTAAATGTTATATGTTCCTGTGAGATTCCTAAGGAATGTTTTTTTTTCTTTTTCTGTTCGAGTTGTTTTACGTCTGCTTCACTACCGAGTAGTTCGGTTATCCAGCAGACGATCCTTAGGAATCTAATATAAATCTTACACAATATAATGTACAGTAATCACATTACTCCCTGATGAATCTAACACAATATAACTTTATAGTAGTCACATAAATCCCTTATGAATCTTATACAGTATAACTGTACAGTAATCACATAAATCCTCCCTTACTCCATTACTGTGTCAGTATAAAACACCAAG